CAAATCTGCCATTAGCAAAGCAAATGAGGCATATCTGGTGAATTTCATATGGGAAGCAGATAAAGGAAAACTTTCTGTGTTAGACCATTATTTGAAGCTGCATTTCCTCAAGAAGGTTTTGTGGTCTATGCAGCTTTTCTTTATTTGTAAGCACAGTGGATTTTTTTTAAATAGAAAGATGCTTATAAATTAAGGATGTAAAGAAAAATATTTTTGTACATCTATACAATGTGTTTAATCTTTTTTGTAAAAAGCTAAAAAAAACTATAATATATATATATATATATATATATATATATATATTCTACTGTGCTTACAAGTAAAGAAATATATATATATATATATATATATATATATATATATATATAATATTTTACATCATTCATCCAGAGCTGAATGGTAATAGTAATGAGATGGATTGCCCCCAATTTTTTAATCTATTAATTAACTTTGGTTTGACTACCACAGTATCAGAGTAGGAGATGGCAAACTTCCATTCTCATAAATGCAGGTAAGAGTCTAATAGTCAAGGACCAATACAACCAAAAGTCTGCATCAAGATTTGAATTAATTTCTAGGGAAATCAGACTATAAAACATAGTATGAGACAGTTTGCTAATAAAGTTCTTTTGTTTTTCCTCCAAATACACCACTTACATTTTTACACCAGAATATCAGGCAAACGAACGAGACAGTTCAAATCTATAGACACTATGAAGGATGTCTATTGCAGAGGAAAACCCTGGTGGGTGTCTCCTGTGCTTCTCTCTGATGCCAGCCAGCCAGAGAGAATAGACAGTAGCAACCAAGACAAACCATATCTATTCAGGGACAAGGAGTCAGGGAAAAAAATCTTCCCATAGATCTGTCAAGTTCAGGTGTAAGATGTACCTATCTACTTTTACCTGTCTTTAACCTAATTTCTGCTTTCTCTTTTAAAGAGTCTCTCAACCAACATCAAGAAGAGGAGGTGGGGATTTCTCTGTGGAGAATGATTCCCTCTTTTTCTTCCCACGCTATCACGGACCTTCTAGAAGCAGAGAAGCCAACTCTGTTCCTAACGGGGCTTTCTATTGTTTCGGGTTATTGACAAGGGCTGAGGCTTGGCGACATCTCTAGTCATGCACAGGCATTTTCTGGAAAATGAATAAGGTTTACATACAGCTTTTATTAGAAGGCCCCTGTAGGCAGCCATGGGGTCAGCTGCCTTGACTTCTCTGCAAGAGCAATAGGATGGGCTCTAGGAGGGTGTCAAATACGGTCTCTCTGCAGGCCATGGCCCAGCTTCCAGAAGGCCTCCTGATGTTTGCCAGTCTCTCCATGTCGAACCATCATCTCCTTCACCTGAGGCCTGCTCAGCTACGTTATTCCTTTCAGTTCAGGGTATGCCCCATTTCCTGTGAGGTCTAATCATATCACTTTTCTTCCTCTTACCTTAAGACAGTTGAAAGATGGGGAGTGGGGTGAGCAAGACCATCTGCTTCTCTCTTAATTCTCTTTCCAGGATACAGATTCCATGCCCTCCTTTCCTCTACATTTGATTTCCCCAAATTTGCTTTATCGAACGTAAATGTTATTAAAGTCCCTAACACTTAGATCCAGCAACAGAACGAAAACAGAGCCCAAGAAGTTCTCCTGTGCCCCCCTCCAGTCACCGTCACTCAAAGAATAACTAATATTCGGATTTCTAACACCACGCATCACTTTTGCTGACTTTTGAGTTATACAAATTCGTGCTAGAATGAAACCCAGGATCTTGTGCATGCTAGGCAAGTGCTGCACCACTGAACTCCATCCCCAACCCTTTTCATTTTAAGACAGGGTCTCACTAAGTGATTTCAAACTTGCAGTCTTCTCGTCTCAGCCTCCCAAATAAGTGAGATCACAGTCATATACCACCACGACTGGCTTGGCATCTACTCCTTTATAAATGCATTTTTTTTACTCAATATTATTTTTGTAAAATTCATCTATATTACTGCATATAGTCATAACTCAAGAAATGAAGTTTAATAAAGTATCTTAACTATTTGCAATTTTTACCTCAATCCAAAGTCACCGTGCAGCAAGGCGGATACTTGTGATAAAAAGAAAAAGGATTGAAATGACCAAAGAAACAAAGAATCAAAATTAATATTTCAAGATTTTATTATCTAAAAGTTTCAATTTTTAAAACTATCAGTTTAATTTTTTTGGTAGCGTATTTACATTGTACATAATTTTGTTCTAGTCATTGAATGTACATATATAATATCATGTAGATTACTTTAACACATTTATGTTTTTACAGTCTTATATAGATATGACTGACATGCAATAAACTGCACATCTTAAAATTTACAATCTGGTGAGTCTGACATATGTAATTCTTGAAACTATCTCCACAATTAATATTATAAATATATTCATCACCGCATGAAGTCTCTTCATAATGCTTTGCAATTCATGCTCCTCCTTGACTTCCATCCTTTCTCAAAGCAATCACTGATCTTTTGCTTTCTGTCACTATAAATCATTTTGCATTTTATAGAATTTTACATAAGTAAAATGAGTGACATCATATAGACAAATTAAAAACAACTACAATGCATAGATAGTATGCATTCTTTTGTCTGGCTTCTTTCATTCATTATAAGGATTGTGAGATTTATTCACATTGTTGCACGAACCAGCAGTTCATTACTTTGTTGGTGCTCTGTAGTACTCCATTCCATGGATATACCAGAATTTGTTTATTCATCCATTTGTGGGTTAACTTTTGGGTGGTTTCTATTTTGGTAGCTGTTATACTACTAATAATAATCTAGTGATATCTTCTACACTTGTTTTTCAGTGGATACATACTCTACTTGTTCAGCCTAGTCTCCGACTGCTGGGCCCCTACTTTGTTTTCCCTTGGGCTTTGAAGGAGAAATAGGAAAATTCAAAATTGTGAATGGAAATATCAAAGCTGCTGTGTCAGTGATCGATTGAAGACATAAGCTAAACATAAATACAATGATAAAAGAATTGAAAAATAACAACCTATTTGCATTTATAGTGCCCTCTACTCAACAGCGAGAAGATACACATTGTTTACAACTACACATAGAACATTCACCAAGTTGGGCCCTATTTTAACAATAAAATAATAAATTCATTAAGATCAAAAGCATAAAAAGTATTTTTCTTGACTGAAATGGAATTAACTACAAATAAATACCAGAAGGATAGCTGGATGGAAAGTTCCCAAATACATGGAACACACTTTTAAATAACCCCTATCTTGAAGAAGAAATTATAAGGGAGTTTAGAAAATTATTTTAATTTCCTGAGAATGAAATACAACATGTTAAAAATTCTGTGGCATGCAGCCAATATAATACCTACAGGAGAATTTATCTCTTTCAATGCTTATATTTAAAAAAGAGGAAAGATCTTAAATTATTAAGGGAACTCTCCCCTAAATAATCTAGTAAAATAATAACAAATTTCATCCTGATTAAACAGAAAACAATGAACTAATAAGATTGTGCACAGAAATAATGGCACAGAAAACAACAAACAGTAGATAAATATCAAGGAATCCCAAAGCTAGTTCTTTGAAAGGATGGACAAAACAGGTAAACTGCTAGCCAAACTGACCAAGGAAAAAGAGGACCCACATGACTTTAGAAAAAGAAAAGGGTATAGAACTAAAAATTTGTCCGTTATTCAAATAATATTAATATTACATGAAATTTCAAAGGATTATCATTGCCAAAAAATTTTAAGTGTAAAACTGGAGGCCACACATTACCTGATTTCAAAGCTTATTATAATGCTATAATGAACATGATGGTGTCATATTAGCATATGGAGAGACATATCAACCCACAGAACAAAATACAAAGTTCAGAAATAGTCACATACAAATATGGTCCACCAATTCTTAACAAAAATATCAAGGTAATTTCAACAAGAGAGAAACAAAAAAGTCTTTTAAACAAATTGTGCTAAAACCATTGGATATGCATATGCAAAAAATAAATATCCACCATGACTCCACAATATATACAAAAATGTGTTCAAGTTGGGTCATAGACATAAATATAAAACTGAAAGTATGATGCTTCTAGGGAAAAGATGAGAAAATCCTTGTGTTCCTGGAGTGGACAAAGCCTCTGTTATAAAAAGTAGAAATGCAAGTCATTCAGTTACTGGGAGAAAGTGAATGCAAAGTGTGTATTTGATAAAGGATTTCTATTTGGATACATAAAAGTGTCTAAAAGAAGGAAGGAGGAAATGATGGAAGGAAGGATAAGACAAGACCAAAAACAATCTAAATATCTATCAACAATAGAATGGACAAATAGATGGTGGCAGAATCTTATTGTGAAATACTATAGAACAATAAAAATGAATGACCTGTATATAAAAAAAAAAAAAGAAGAATTAGAAAAGAACATAATCTTGAGTGAAATAAAATCATGAGGCAAAAATATCATTTGATTGTATTTATTTAAATTTCAAAACCTGGCCAAACTAAATTATGAGCTACCTAGGGATATTTAAATTGGTTTAAATCTCCAAAGAAGGTGAAAGAATGATCCATATAATTCATGATATTTATCGCTTACTATTCAGTGAGAGGAGATAGTTTTCATAAGTATGTGGAATATAAGAAGTCCTAAAAAATAGTACCACTCTCTCTCTTAGGCTCGGTGGTATGTGTGTAGGTGTTCATTTATTGTCCATTAATGTGTGCATGTTCATGGGTACTCACTCTTTTTATGTACTCCATATAGTTTTCTAGTTTTAAAACTGCAGGTTCCAAGGATCCAAAACCAAGTATCCCAATTTGCTAGGTTAGAACAGTGCCAAGCAGTCTGCATTTTTATTAAGTTCCCATGGTCATTTTGATAAAATTTTGAGTATTTATGTTGTTTACATAGTTTGAGGTCTTCCCCTTGTAACTTGGCATTTGGAAAAGAGATAGAGCATAAAGGAGGCAATTTATAATAAACAAACAGACCACCCTTCTAATTCCAGGAATCATCTCTTTACTATACAAAGAACTAAACATTTACAAAAGAAAATCAAAAGAAATTGCATTTTAAAACTACATTAGAAAGTTACACAAGGGTCTGATAAACAAACATCATAAAACATCTCCGTACCATGTCAGTACCATACAGAGAAATCCAGTCAACCATCATACACGAGGTTGAGGTATTCAGTACCTGAAAATCCACCCAGTGCCCTCTTTGTCATTTGCCTATAAAAAATATAACATGCCAGCTTTTTTATAAAACACGAATTATTGTCAATAAACTTAATGGGAAGAAAATTTTGTTAAAGAAATAAAATATAAGAAAAATCACACAGGTCAGCTGCCAGTCAATAGTAAATATTAAATTTTCCTAAGATGCATTAAGTTATAACAGTCAGTCCCAGCAACACTGTTGAAGTATTTCATAATCTGAAGATAGGTTGTTGCTATTTCAAACAAACTTGTTATGGCATAATTTATTTTACATATGTACAAATTATGTTATTATATGTACATATCAGGAAAGCTCTGGAGTCATCTCATCTCTCCATGCCAGTGACTTTTCAAGCAGAATGTTCTCTGTTGGCCTCCTTCTCACAGCAAGGGGCCCAGGCGGCCATTTCTTTCTGTTTTCAATACATCCCCGGAAGTCTGAACTCTTAGTTCGTTGCTTTTCTTGTGGAATGATTTGGAGTTATAAACAGTATCTCCGGTTGAACATTTCAAATGTTAGCTACACTTTTGATTTCTGTGCTTCTACAAGACTGTATGACCCTTTCATGTTGGCCTTCCTTGCAAAGTAGATGATCATTCCAATGGCAGGTATTATCAAGGAGGATGCACAATAGAGCACAAGAAGTTCAGGAGAAAAATAGTCCTTGGTATTGTCTCTTCCTGGAAAAAAAAAAACAATTGGATGTAATTAATGCTTAGTACAAAAAGAAATTGTTTAATCAAAAGACATGTCTTACTGTGACAGTACAACTAGTTCTCCAGAGAGGGAATCAAAGCAGTGATATGGAATATCATCAGGACCCCAAATGCATATTCCCCTGAATTATCCAAATGGTTAGTGGGTGGTTGTTATGATCATGAAGAATCTAAAGATGATAGCTGTTGACTTTCACAAACTTGGATTAAAAAAAGATTCAATTTTAGGGGTAAAATAGAAAAGAGGGTCCTTTATAATAGCAGGAATTAGAGAGGGAGAAATAGAAGTATCTGCCAAAGTACTGGGACTCTGATTACCATAAACTGAAATGATTAACCAATTCTCCAAGAAAATCCTCAAACCATTTAAAGTAACTACCAGAGTCAAACACCACGAATAGGACAATAAGAGGAAGAATTCTTGCTGATGCATTTTTTTGGGTTTTGTTTTGAGATATATATTCTTGTTATAGAAAGGCCTTGTCTGATCTATATCTCCCCTAATCTAAATAAGAACCTCAACATCCACTCTCAAAATCTACCCAGCACACTTCCCCTTCATAGCCCAATCCCAGTTGGTATTTAAGCCTTCATCCACAAGCTTATCGGTCCAATGTGGTTTCCTCTTCTGACCTCATAAAGCCAGACATGTCTGTTTTTCTTCTGGTCCACCACTAGAAGAGCTTGCACTTCAACTCCCCAGTTGGCATAATTGCTGCCCCATCCAAAATATTTTTGAACACTAAAAAACTTTTTTTCTAAATCCTATCATTTTGCCATTCAGTTGCAAATGAAGTACAGATGATAGTATTCCAAAAAATTTAAATTTGTACTCTTTTTAATCTATTAAAATCCTCTGGCAGATGCAATACCACTTAACATCTGAACCTCACAAGAACATCTGAAGAACAGAGCATGGCATCTACTGGGGACTTGCTTGTTTATACTCAGCTTGCACAGCATCGTATAACCTCACAATTAAGTCTCACTAAGTGACATATATGTTGGCTCAGTGCCAACAGGAATTAGTGACCTGACTTTGATCATCACTGAATTCCTTCTAGAGCTTTCTAAACACTAAAAGTTACCTAAGTAGAAAAGAACCATTAGCATCAGATGATGCTAATCAGATGATTAGCAAAGTGAATGTTTGCAAGTTATTGAAGAAAAAAAAAAACACTTCAGCCTGAACATGATGATAATTGTTTTTCTACTTTTCCTTGCTAACATTGAGCTAGTCAAAGTATAAGGGTACTATTTTAATGGGCTATTTATCATCATAATTGTGGTTAGGCATCAATATTGATAACAAGATGGGCAAAGGTATTTGTGTCCCTATTATTTTCCTTTCAATGTGGAAATAATCCTTTATTTTTTTGCCTCTCAGTTTTTCCCTCAGGCATCTACAGAAAAACTCAAATTTGCTAAGTCAGTTGCTAGGTCAAGCTTCTGATAAAATTTTCTATTAGTATTATCAACACTAAAAATTTTTAAGAGGGCTGACCATTTCTATTAATGTAATACATTCAAGCCAAAACAAAAGAAAATAATTTAAAAACTAAGCTAAATGCAAAGGAAAACTACTTCAAAATATCTAGAAAAAATGTCAATTTTTTTGGTCTTCATTCATATCCAGCTATTTTAAACCATATTCAGTTTGGAGGCATGCATTTCCAGCTGAGTGCCTAATAGCCTTTGTTTATTGAAATAATAAGAAAACAGTGGCAAACATATAAGTGGTTAATAATTCAACTAGGAAAAAAACCCAAGCTTTAAGGTGTCTTTTTAAAAGAACAATTAATTACAAGCATAATCACAGAAATGTTAGGAGTTCACTTTCCTGAAGCTAAGCTGAATTAAAGCTGGTCAAAAACATCAAGGATTGAATAAACAGGAATGGATTAATATCAACCTACGTATAACTGAGATCTCAATGTGTTCAGACACATCCCCAACCTCATTGGAAGCACTGATTACATATACACTGCATCATTTGAGTGACATGATACAAGGTAAATGTTCCATTATTTGAACACATAGTAACTTCAATGACCAGATTAACTCTTTTCAGGATAATCACTGCAGGTGGATGACTAAAAGTTTGACATGTAATTATGTTATTTTCCCCTTCTTTAACATTTCTAGATGGATATATTTATATTGTTGTGTTTCAAGGAGGTAATGTAAAGACAGAAAAATACATGGTATGGCTTGTAATCTTGAGAAATTTTGCCAGATTAGTAAAAAGTTTTTTTTTTTTTAACCTGTTTTCTGACTTAGGTTCAAACTTCCTTTAGTTTGACAAGTGGTTGCTAACCCTGGTGGCCAAGTGCCAAACCTCCTAAGAGGTGACTTTTGTTTACAGCCCTGTTCACTTCAAGGGCAAGTATAATATTCAATACTGAATAGAGGCTAATTAATGTGCAAGGAGTGTAAGACTGATTAATCAAAGCTGACACATTCTGCTTACACCAATAAGATCAATGCATCCTACCTACTGTGCATTCACAGGAGAGGGTAGGAGATCAAGGGGCCCTGAAGTTTCTTAGAGAGACCATTGTGCGCATGCCCTCTCCCTCTCCCTCTCCCTCTCCATCAGAATAAGATAGATAGTGGGGCTTAGGAGGCTGTTCTGTAGACTAGAGTTTTCATGTAGTTGTTGTTCAGGATCAAGATTGCTACTGCCAATTATTTCCTGAAAAGAATCAATCCAGAAAATAGGCAGTTACTCCATGTTCAGAAAATAGCATTCCCTTCTGGTAGAAAGGAAGAGGATCTGGATAGAATTTTTCTTTTCCCTCCCTCCCTCCCTCCCTCCCTCCCTCCCTTCCTTCCTTCCTTCCTTCCTTCCTTCCTTCCTTCCTTCCTTCCTTCCTTCCTTTTCTTTCTCTTTCTTTCTTTCTTTTAATGTGCTAATCCTACCTCCATGGTTTCCTTATAATCTCCAGTGAAAGGTTTTGAAAATATGGTTAAACACTTAGCAAATATAAGACCTCAGAGACCAATGATGAATTAATTGTCAACTTTGAAAAAAACAAATGGGAATTCCACATTCACCAGTGATTAATGTCAACTTCCTGGTTAAACTGTTTAGGATAGAACACCTGTGCTTGATTATTTCAAGAAACATTAAGAAATAACCACACACGACACAGAATTCAGCCTCATTCTTCCAACTCATTCATCTAATGTTAGAAAGCTATTACCATCTATGGAACCTCTTAACAGCTACCAAAATAGATAGATGGATGGATGGATRGATAGATAGATAGACAGATAGATAGATAGATAGACCCCAAACAAAAGGCCAACCTTTAACATCCAGTGTTAAATTTCTTAATTGTGAGCCCACTTCATTTTTAGATTCACATTCATATACTCCTGCATCCTCCAGCTGCACCTTGAGGATGGTGTATGCGCCATCTATAGATTTCAGCACCGTGTCTCCTGTCTTTGCTTTCTTCTTCAGGATTATCCAAGTTTCTGGAATATTTCCACATGTGCAGGAGATAATGACAGTGTCTCCTTCCTTGACACTCTCAGAAGGAAACACTGTAAGCTGTATGTCTTTTGGAGCAACTGAAAAGAGAATTTAAAAGAAACCTCTGAATGAGTGAAGTATAAGCTAATTCCATATTGATATAAGGACATCAATCAGAGCTTCCACGGACCTATTTGTGTTTGCAGGAAATGTTAAGAAAATCAGGTAAAGAAGTCAAGCATTTGCTGAACTGTTGTAAATGATCATGCCTTAAAGAAGATGCATCTTATGCTTCATTCATGTTTTTTAACATAATTCTTTACCCAGACTAGCACTATTTGATGTAAGTAAATAGCTATAGAATTCAAATGTGAAAATTTTTTTTAAAAAATCACACTATTTAACAAAAATTTCCTTGAAGAACAAAGGCTTTACATGTTTCTGAGTTTTGAGCTAGTTCCTCCCAGATCAAGAAATTTAGCTTTACAGAGGTGGCTTGTTATATGGTATTTAACAACACAACTACCATTTATCAAGTTTCAGGCTCTGGGCTGGGTGCTTGACATGCAATATCTTATTAACGCACCAATGATTAAGGAAGTATCCTTAAGCATTTTATAAGTGAGATTCCTATTAAGGCCATCTATTTTGTGCCTTCATTTGAGTCTCGTTCCCCATCCATGGCCACAATGCCATGGCATTATCCTGTGGCTTTTCTTTAAGGTTGCACATTGCTCTTTCAAGGTTCTTCCTTAAAAATACAAATCTTGTTGTGATGAGATAACAAGAAATCCCTAATACCTTAGGGGGAATAATCCCAAGGGGTACAAAACGAAATGACAATCCTGGTGAAGAAAATAACTCTGATGCCCAAAAGGGAAGGTATAGGAAGCAACCCAAATTGTTCACTTCAAGATGCTCATAACTGCCAATGGCATCTGTGTGCCAAGTAGAAATTATTTTGTTCTCAGTCTTGGGTGTCTATCCAGGAGAGAAGAGACCTGTATCTGATGACTTGATCCCAGTGGTTCCGTGCCAGGCTGATGAACCAACCAGAGGGCACAGTCTCTGCTATTCTTAATCTCAGAATTTACAAAAGGTGCTTCTTAGGGTTCTAAGCAAATACTAGCAGGCATCTTGTGAGATCTTCCCTCAGGACCAAATTCAATCAAAGATGTCACTCACTTTGACCAATAGAACATGGAATGAAGAAACACTGTAGGACTCCCCAACTCAGGCCTTTAAGAGGCAGCTATGATTACCCCCTTCTTGAAACAATGTGCTATGACAAGTCAACTTAGGCTACCTTCCCTAAGGATGGTATCACATGCAGAAGGGAGGCACAGCCCCCCAGATATAGCCCAGACATGTGAGTGAGGCCATCTGTGACTGGCCAGCCTTGCTGACCTGACTGAAAACAGATGAGTGACCCCACACTGAGCAGAATAAATGCCCAGCTAGCCCATTTCCTAATGCCAACTCAAAGATTCATAAACAAATGGTCATTATTTTACACTTAGGAAGGTAGTTTGTTAGGACCACCTTTATTTTGAATTTTCTTATCTGTTATTTTTTTCAAAGTTTTTAACTATTAACTTTATGTTAACTATTGCCTGACAAACATGATAAAGAAATCTATACTAACCTGTGGATACATGTACTTACCATTGACATAAAGCGTCTGTGTACTCTGCCTTTGTTTGTGTTCAGATTCCATTTCACCAGTATGTAACTTAGCCCGACAAACAAGAACTTTTCCACTATCTTCCGTGGTGGGGGTGAAGGTTACTTCCAAACTTTTGGTCTCTAGGGATTTCCTATCCATTTCCTCCAAAAAGTTTTTTTTCATCAGAATAGTCTCCCCATTAAGTAATTCGATCTCCAAATGGTCAAAAGGGTACACATTAGGAACCCTGCAGCTTACAGTGACGGGGTTTCCATTCACAAGTAGACCACTCATCTCAATTTCTGGATCTGTAGGGAAGGCTGCAAACATCAAGCAAAAGTAATGTTTGTATGTGTCATTCAAAGGGAAATAAAGTTACACTCTATTTGAATTCAAGTGTCTCAAAATTACAGCTTTAACTTATCTGGGATAGAATTATCATCAATACATTAAAAATTGACATTAAGTATAAATACATAATTAAAACATTAATCACAATGTTGGCAACAAAAATACTTAGTACATTAAGTCATCAAGTAATAAATACTTTTACTTCTTATTTTCCTCTTCTAATGATGCCATCTTGCTGAGCACATGGGCTGATATTATCTAGGGACACATCAGCTTCTATCATCTCATATATTAACTATTTCTTTTAGATGTCTTAAATATTTGTCATGATATGTTGACTAATTGTTATGAACTAGTCCTTCAACATTCATTATCTCAGTCTTTAGGACAGCAACGGATACTACTTAACTTATTTTATTGTTAGGAAAACTGAAACTTAGGCTAAAAGACTTTTCATTAAACATCATACCTAGTGTGTCATTGAGCTGAGCTCAAACTCCCTGTTCCTCTTACCTCAAAATCTAGACTTAGTTTCACAGGTCTATGTAGTGTCTCAGTGTCAAATAAGACCCACAGGGAAGTTCTCAATTTAGACATCTTAATATCTAATAATTATTTAGGCAGCAAGTTTAAAACATTTCTCAGATAATAGTTGTAATTAAGAAAAGAACTATCTTAACTGTATTATTTAGAATTTAGCCTATATAGTAACATATCATATATAAATCAATAAAAATGAGACTAAAATACTTATCAAACATAAGAGTGACTCTAGTTTATTTTTTCTTTCAGCAAAATGATTCAGTTGTTAAAATAAAACATCTTTAAGTATTTCCATATTGCAATAGGACTTCACCCCTGGTTCTCATTTCTGCTGGGAATGTGCTACATCAGCAGATCCTGGACTCTGGGTAATATGATAAAGCAATAAAATTGACCCTTCTTTTGAGAGATTTAAGTCCCTTTACAGGCATACTCTCATTCTGAATAAAATCCCAAAGGATAACACAAGTTGGGGCATAGTTTCTGGTTAAAAAAAAAAGAAAACTTTATAATGAATTTTCCTTGAGTTTGCTGAATGAAACCAAGCAGAGTAACTCTCATGAAAAAAATAACTTTTTGGTCACTTTGTATATTTTATTCCTCATTCATTACAGACTGAGAAACTCCAGAAGTGTCAAGTTCATAGAGATTTGAGGTTATAAAGAATATTTATTAAGGTGGCAAGAAGAGTGAAAAAAAAAGGTTCAGTATATGCTTGTTCAAGTTTTGCCTAAAGCTTTCATCAGTATTAAGACCTGGTGTTGCCTCCTGCTTCTGCTTCAACAGAAACCTGAGCTACTACCATTGATCAGTCTACTCTGCACCTTCCTTTGCTTTTCCCTGCTTCCCATTTCTTCATTTCTTTTTCCATCCTGTAGATCAGCTTTCCAAATTATTCCTTTAAATCCATAAGCTCAGATCTGGCCCTCAATTTAAAGAGCTGAGCAGTGGTCACCCCCACCCAGTTATCTGAAGGTACATTGGCCCCATTCCCTCACCACCTCTGTACACTCCACAAACACATAGAAGGGATGGGAAGCAGGGTCATAGGGTGTGACAAAAAGTGTGATGAGACAGTACCACAAGACCCACTAAGGACTGTGCCCACTGTGTCCATATGTAATATAGACTTAAGATTTAGGCAAAGTACATCACAGATTCACATTCTTTTTTTATCCAATGGGATTGAAGAACAATTCTGAAAACCACTTACAGTAGAGCTCCACTCTGATTCTTTTTTCCAGTTTCCTCCGTCCACAGGTGACAGTGCACAGGTAAGAGTGTTCGTTCTCAAAACCCACAGGGCTCAGGGTCAGTGTGGACTCCGTCCCTTCACTTGTCACCTTCCCGCTCAGAGGGCTATCTATCTGGGTTCTCCAAGAGAGAGATGGGGACTCACAGCCTGTGACACGGCATGTTAGCACAACTGAGTCCCCTATCTGAGCAACAACCTGAGGTCCAGGGAAGATGTCAACAGTAAATGGTTTCTCTGCAGAAAAAAAATAAAAAAGAACAAGACACAGAGCCGATAAGACTCATTTCTTCTTCCGTCACATTCCCACATATGATCTTTATTTGTCCTGATCTGGCTTTAGCCACTATCTGTACCAAGAAGAAATAACTCCCTTCCGTCAGGAAAGAGACTACATCTTTTAGAATGAATCCATGAGAGTCTCTCAAATCAGACTTAGAATAAATATAGATAAAAATGTGTTAAGAGAGATTGGTGTCTTTTCATGGCAATAATACTATCTCTGCTCAGTTGTTTATCAGATCACTGCAGGAATAAACAATAGGTCAAATAATTTCAATGGTTCCTGTGTGTCAAGTCCACGTACAAGTCATTTAATCCCCACAACAGTGTTGTGAACTTGTACTACTTTCTTCTCTGCCTTCTTGTTTTCCTTCTGCTTCTACTCTTTCTCTTCCTCTTCTTTTTCCTCTTTCCTCTTTCTTCARGAGGTAATTTAGGCTCACAAATGTTAAATCACTTTACCCAGCTTGCAAGTGGCAAAACTAGAACTTGATGCAAGGTAGATGTGATTTAAGATTTCAGCTTTTCTGTTGCTAGAACAACTAAATCAAGACATCTTCATACAGAGATCAAATAGATCTAAAGGAGGTACTACTCCCCCCCCMAAAAAAGCCTCAAATTATACAAAATTTCCATAGTGGATCCATGCCCAAGGCATCTCTGTTCCATCAACCTGAAGTTATTATACCTTAAAAGTCACATAGGATCATGTATAAAGCAAAGCAAAAATTTACATATCAAAATGATAACACAAGTTACTCTAAAATGTATTTGATGTAATCTAAACATTTTTGCAATGATTTGAGGGGGCAGAAGCAGAGGTGAGGGTGAACTCCTTAATCTCAAATGTCCAGGAAAGCTCTTAGGTGGCCAACACTATCCATGCTAGACATACAGTCTTTGATGGAATAATGCTACTTTGGGAGAAAGAGAATTCCAAATCTTGACTCTGGTTCCCTAAAGAAACTGGGAGTGGTTGGCAACTCTGAGAGTGACAGATGACAATCCACAGAAAATCAGTAAAATCTTCCTCACGAACAGCAGGCTAGAGATGGAAGAAAGAAATTGCAACACGTAAAAATTCCCAATATACTACATTTTGCATGGTTCTCTTCTGTGTCAGGAGAAGCTACTTTTTTTCAATTTGTTTGTATAAATGTGATATCTTAATATTTTCCAAAGAAAGCCCTCTTCAAATTACCTCAATAAACTAATATACGATTCGATTTTGAAAGATCATTCAGAACAATGATCAAAGTTTCCAAATTCCTTATATGCCAGTGTGAGAATGAGGAACTTTAATAGCAGATTCACTTCCTGCCTACGAACAATTCTGGCTATATATATTATTTTGTGGACTTGTGGCTCCTGGGAAGTAGCTCTCTTAGGTAGACTAAAGGTCCTTTGAAAGTTCAATTCTATCTTTAGTACTTAAGGCTGTTAGTATCATATGTGAAGCAAAATGCAAAACAACTCTCCTCAACCCCATAACCCATCTCCTTGACATATTGAAATGGGATCCAGCTTATTATGGGATGGAGCTATTTCAGGATGGATGTTTAGCTTTGTATACTTTCATTAGTATAATATTTTTTCTGGTCACTTGAGAATGAGTTAGACTACAGGATTTTTTTTTAATCATCCAAGCTTGAACTCCATATTTTCATATTTTTAAAATTTGTGTTGTCAATATTTGAAATTTATTCATTGAACATTTACTGAATATTCATTGTGTGTCAGGTACTGTGGTAGGCACTCAAATATAAAACACATATGCATAAACACTGAGGGCCCTTGACTTGAAGGAACTTCCAGTTTAACGGACAAACATATTTAAATAGACCTATTATTTTGGTTCTCACTAAAGTACATTCCTGCCTTTCCTTCCTAGTTTGTAAACTTCTTTGGGGCAGTAGCTGCATCTTATCAGGCCTGCATCCCCACCACCCAGCAGACTCTTGGATTCTTGAGTAAAGCCTCTTAATTAATATGTATTGAACTGAACAGAAGTACATACATCGCTATAAGAAGTATTGAGTCTATACTAAAGAAGGAACCACTAGCTTTGCCTAACACAATCTGGAATTTGGAGGTTTATATATGTTTCGTCATGAAGGATGGCTAAGACTTTGCAGGTGGAGGAAGGGGAAAGCCTATTCCAGGAAGAAGAATAGCATGAATAGTGACACAGAATCATCAACTACAGTATTTTCTGACCATATCATGAAGTTATTATATGCGGCTATTTTAAGAAATGTACACATAGTTACGAAAACTTGTGCTGTATATGGGTAATAATGAGTGTAATGCATTCCACTATTGTCATGTATTTAAAAAATAAATAAATTTTTAAAAAAGAAATATAGTTGAAGTTATAGAAAAGTCCAAGTGAAAGAAGATAAACTAAGGCATGTCAAAAGGGTTGATTAAGACATTAGATCCTAGGGATCATTTTGAGGGAGAGGATTTGGTGATACAAACTGAGAGCATGAATTTGGGAATAACCAGTATATGTATAATATATCTGGGTATCGAGAGTGAGAAGAAAAGAGGGCAAGGAGTGGTAAGTTGAAAATACCAATGTCTAGAGGTCAGGAGAAAGACAGGAAGCCATGGAATGAGGCATGGGAGAGATGCTGTTACAAAAGGTTCAAAAAAGCAGAGCCAGGGAAGCCTCGGGAGGAAAGACTGCCAAAAATCGAGTATAATAAATACATATTCACACTCTAGTACATGACAATCAGACAGATAACCAACGAAATGTTGGAAAGCAACCTCAGCACCAAAGCTGCCTCATTGTTGCTCAAATCTCAATACAGCATCGTTGTTTTTCCTTTTGCATATTCCACTCACCTTCAACAATTAATTCCACCTCTTTTTGGCTTCTTCCAATAGAATTAACTCCTTCACATACATATGTTCCAGAATCTTCCATCCTCATAGCAATTAAGGTGAGAGTCTCATTACCAGAAAGAAGCTGTAGATTCTCATTATCTAATTTCTTGTTCCAGATAATCTTTGGAGCTGGCAGACCCTCACTGGAACATGTCATTGTTACAGAATCACCTTCTTGCAGCCTTGTGGAGGGATGCACGGAGATGACTGTATTCTTGGGTGAGACTGAAAAAAACAGGGCATCATATTAGCAATCAAAAACCATGTTTTCAATTCAAAACAGAAGATGGACTTCTCTCACAGGTTGTTATCCTGTGCTTCTGTTGACTTGACAAACTTATTTTCCCAAGATAGCATAAAGAACTGCTGAGTCACTAAAAGATAGTCAATCTAATTTCTGTACAACTCGATTACCTTTCTAAAAAATGTTTTGTGTTTTCAGATTGCCATAGATATTCTTAAGTTAAGAGGGGCCCTTAGATTCATGTGGCTCAATCTCCCACCTAAGAGCCCCATCTAAGAATCCTTACCAAAAGCTCATCCTAATCAGTCAGCCTCAGGATTTACTGAGAAAGGCAACTCATTGCCTGATCAAACAACCTATTTGATTTTTGAGTATCTTAAATTAGAAAAACATTTTCCCTGAGTTGAAATCTTCTTCTTCATAACTGGCTTTTATATATTGGTCATAGTTCAGCCCTCTGATGTTACAAAATAAACTAAATCCTTCTGTCACATACAACTGTCTTTCAAATACTTAATTAAAACTCCTCAAGTGTTTCATTCCTATATTGACTGTTCTCATAACATTGTTAGAAGCCAACTCATTCTCTTTGTGCTAAATATATTATTGTTGGCACTGAGTTGAAATCTTCCCCTTCATAACTGGCTTTTACATATTGGTCACAGTTCAGCATTTCAAGGCATATTATAAAATATGATTAAAAATATTTTAACATTTAAGCCTTCCTAATCAGTACTAGTACATTCCCTTTTAATAGGAAATAAATAAATAAAGTAACCCTAAATCATGTATTTGATGAAGCCCAAAATTAAGTTCAAGTCTTCTTAATCCAAATCCATGTTCTTTTCACTGGATTATACTATTGGAAAGCATCATGTTCTCAATAAGTAAAAATGGAGTAAAAACTACAAAAAAGCTTCTTGTTAGCCTAGTTGCTAAGTTTATCTCGATCTACATTCAAGACTGAATTCCCATACAAACTAGACCATGTGACTTACTGTAGACTTGCAGTTCTTTGGTAGTGTTCCTTTTTGGGGGCACAGATTCAGTTTCATAAATGTTTAATTGAGCTCTACAAACAAGAGCTTTTCCAGTATCCTCCATGACAGGAATAAAGGTTACTTCCAAACTCTTGGTTTCCAGGGACTTCCTATCCATATCTTCCAGAAATTCCTGATTCTTCATGAGATGATCATCTTTCCATAAATCCATCTCCAGCCTGTCAAACGGGTATACATCAGGGATCAAGCACTTGACTGTGACCTGCTTCCCGACCTCCAGAAGACCACTGAAGTGAATTTCTGGATCCTTAGGGAAAGCTGCAAACGCAAATGGATACACAAGTGGGCCTTCTGCTCATATTTTTAAGATCTCTTATAACACTATACAAATCAAATCTAATGTTTTTGTTCACACAATCTTAATACTACAGCAGAACTAACAGTTTAAATAGTTTTTTTTATGATTTTGAGTGGGCTCAAGAAGCAAGAGTCAGAATCAACCACCTATTAGAGAATTCTTCTGTCCTGATCCTGTATGTATTAAATATTGTATGTTATTAAAGGAAAGTAAAAAAACTAATGCTTATTGAAACTTACATGTACCTTTCACTGTGCTATGGATTTAAAATAAATGGTTTATCCTCACACAAGCCTTGAGACAGAGACCACATTTCACAGATTATAAAACTTGGACTTAGTGTATTTGCATAACTTGCCTGAGATCACACAGCTAATAAAAGGCACTGCAGATAATTCTCTTATTTTAGTAAAGGCAAACATAGCTCCATTTTACAGATAAGTAATCCAAAACTCAGAATGTGACTGCAAAGTTTAACTATTCTATAAGCTATGCTGAGAAATGGAAAGAGTGGCTTTAAATATTTGGCTTCTGAAAATGGTGCCTTAAGAATTCATCCACCAGGAAGGAACACCTGTGCAGTCTTTCAGTTTTGGATGGGCTGCCTGAGATGCCTAACTCAATGCCTCAATCCATACTCCACTGACCCTTTTAGTGCAAAGGAGCACAGCATCCATTGCCTCCTTTGCCAGAACTACCTTTTCCATTACATTCTATCACAAGGGCAACACGTTAGTGGTTTCAGGATCTATATAGTGAGAAGAATACAAAAGTCCCAAGTCCAAAGAATATTACAATCAAATGTGGAATGGAGACAGGACTGTTAAACATAATGAGAAGCAGACATTCTTGTAGAAAAACCTCAGGCAAGATAATTAAAGCCAGAAGGATCTTCATTTCTCTTTTTTAAATCTTCAACTATTTGGCGCTTGTGGGCAAAAGACAAAGGAACTGGAAGTGCTTTGTTATCTGAAAACATAGTATTTTTAATTTTTTCACCCATTATTTCAGTCCTTTACATTCTATTAAAAATGCTCCTATAATCCATCCAGTTTTATGACAGGTAATATAAGAACTTGCTACTTTTCCCTCTATTTATATAAGGGGACCTTTGAAGGCACTCAGGAGGCCGCACAGACATAAACTATGCATGTACAACCAGCATAATTGAAAGCAGTTGGCCAGGCACAGTTTCTTGGGAAGCTTTAGCAACACATGGGTCTTGTTGAAATTTTAGTTAAAGTTACTGGGCAAAGGTGGGTTCCAACACAGTAGAAAGGAACCAGTGTAATTCATGAAGAAAATCAAATGAGGTATTCATAAAGAAATGACCCTATGGGAGTACAGTGTTTTAGAGAGGCCATCGGTAACCAAGGCAAATGACTTGTGCAAGGTTAGTTTTTACCAGCCTTTTGCCTCTTGCTAATTTTGCTGAATGGAGAGCAATTTACATTTGTGAGGCAAATCTAATTCATTATACAAATACCTTTGAGGTTCAGCACCAGGACTTTATGGCAACAGCAACAAAAATTCTTAAATTTATGGACATAACATCAAATGAATAAAATGTTTGCAGATATTTACTATCATGCCTAAGGAGAAAACTTTTGTACTGAAGGTTACTAAATTATACATCTTGTGCTTAATCTTTAAGCTGATTTTAAGCACCCTTGCATAAGAATAAATGAATGAAAAATCCCCATAGGATGGAATTAATAAATCATTTAGATGCATGAGCAAGTAAACATGTAAGGATATAATCAAATGGAAATTTTTTAAGATAAAAAGAAGACCCTTAGAAATGTTCATTTAATAGCTAAGGAAATTAGAGCCAAAGAACTTGCGTTTTATGCATGATCACCATGTTTGTGGCAGAGATGAAACAGAAGCCAAAATTTGGATTCCTGATTTCTAGTGTCAGCTGTCTCGAACTTTCTCTCTTTAAAAAAAATAATTTATTTGTTCAAATCTAGTTATACATGACAGCAGAATGCTCTTCGAGTCATTGTTCATAAATGGAGCACAATTTTTCACTTCTGTGGTTGTACATGAAGTAAAGTCACACCGTTTGTACAATCATACATGCATTTAGGGTAATGTCTAGCTTTCTTGATGCTATGTTTTCAAGCCAAGAATCAGGATATTAATATCTTTTAAAGACTTTTTTTTTTTTTGGTGGTGGTGCTGGGGGTTGAACCCAGGCCTCTGCATGCTAGGCAAGCATTCTACCAACTGAGTTGTATCCCCGGCCTAAAGACCTTTTCTTTCTTTTTTCTTTTTAATATTTATTTTTTAGTTTTCGGTGGACACAACATCTTTATTTATTTATTTTTTTATGTGGTGTTGAGGATCGAACCCAGCGCCCTGCACATGCCAGGCGAGAGCATTACCGCTTGAGCCACATCCCCAGCCCCAAGACATTTTCTTTAAAAAGCTATTTTAAAGCAAAATTGAGAGAAAACCAAAGATTCTTTAAAGCACTCACAATAGATCTCCACCTGGATTCCTTTTTCCAGTTTCTCAGATCCGCAAGTTGCTGTGCACAGGTAAGAGTGTTCATTCTCAAAACTAACAGGATCCATGGTCAATGTGGAATTTGTGCCCTCATTCTTCACCTTCCCATTTAATGGACTGTCTATCTGGGTTCTCCACGAAAAAACTGGAGACTCACAGCCCGTAGTGCTGCAAGTCAAGGAGACGGAGTCACCAATCTGAGCTAGAATCCAGGATTCAGGATAGGTCTCGATTTTAAAAGCTTGAGCTACAAAAACAAAGAGAAAAATGAACATACCACTGCTTTGTTTAGTATTCTACTCCCTCTTCTCTGTTATAGTATAATGTTCAACTTGTGACCTTATGGATCTTTTTCCAGCTTTAAACTAACCACAAGGCAGTCAAAACACACCAAAGTCACCGCCAAAGATAGTGTTGGGATTATCTTTACTCAGGACTCTCAGTTCTGACCTTGAGGCCCATTTATCAGAGTTGTTTTGTTATTTGCTGAGTTTGACTTCATTATCAAGTATAGGAAACTAAAGTGATAGTCCTACTACAGATAAAACCAAATTACTCTTTCACTTTAGGAAACAGGCATCAAAAAACATCAATTTGCAGCTGTCACTATGACAGTATAATGGCATATAGCAAAACTCAATAACACATTCAAAGTTAGGTTAAATGAAGTTTCCCCGTTGTTTAAAATTCTAGTGCCTTCCTTCGCTACCACAGCAAAACTGAGTGAAGCCAAAACCAAGGCTGAAATGGAATGCTAACATTTGAAACAGATCAAGAAGAACTTACAAGCTGCAAACACCATCCAAAATATATTCGAGGCTCCAAAGAGCACAACAGGCATTTTAAGTTGCTGCTGTGATGAGGAAATCATGGTTCCCAAAGTCGTATTTCTGTCACACCTGAAAGTGCCTGGGAAGAGTCTTCCGCTCCTAAAGCCAGTGAGGCTCAGTGTGAGTGAAATAGAAAGTCTGCTCTTTATAAAGGGTCTTGTTGAAGAGGCGGAGGGAAATCCCTTCAAGGGAAAACCCGGGGCAGAGCCAGGGAAAAAAAGTTTAACTGACATGCAGCCAAGTCCCAGCATTAACCCCTTCAGTTGCTCTCAGTGTTCAAATGACTGTCACAGGAAAACAGGACACTTTCAGGACTTAAAATGCAGGATATCTTTCCTGGAAAGATAAAAGACTGTTCATTTCAGAAGCTGTCTGAGTCCAACCAGGGAGGGGGTGTTAAATTCCACTTTTTGACTGGATGAATAACCGCTGTCAGTGTGAACTGATTTCTTTATTGTAAAATATATTTGCAACTTTAAAATAGAGATTAAATGTTCTCATACAAGAAAAAGGAAAAAGTCTTCTCTTGTGATGCCTTATTTTTTTTAAAAAGGGGAGACAACATAACTTCTTAATTTTATACTTTAAATTCATAAAAATACTTCTTTTGTAAAAAAAAAAAAGTCAGTTATCTGATATAACTTTCTTGAGTGGAAAGGAATGTAAATGCATTTTGATGCCAAAATACAGGAAATCATTTTCCTCTTTTGTGTCAGAAAAGGTACCAGCCCTCTGCTTCAATTGCTGGAGAAATGCAAGACTTTTGCAGACTTAAATACAAATGTATGGGGTCCATCTGATAAGTCTTGTATGGTGAATCTTTTCGGCTATGCGATTTAGTCACAAACTTAGTTAAAACATGAAAAATAATTTGTTTTTGTGATAGGAGAGGAATTATCCTCTTTATTTTTATCCAATTTTATATTTTTTTTCTTCCCAGTGAAATGACTTTTTTAAAGTCTTAACTAGCTGTTTCAGTATTGCATACACATAGCCCAAGTTCTGACAGAATGCTTGCACATCAAAAAGAAACAGGAACAGCCACTTCCTTGCATTGAACATGCATATGCAGGTCTATCTCCCGCACTGGATTATCGGTTCCTTTCATAGCTAGGACCAGTCCTTGTTCATCACTGGATTTACTTTTACAGTACCCAATGCATGGTTTTGCATTGGGTGGACACACGAAAAATGCAATAATAAATTGCAAATTTGGAAAAGAAATTTCCAAATACTAACAATAATACACAAGTACTACATGAGAACTGCTACAAGAAAATTGCAAAGTTGCCAGACTCATAAATAGTACTGTACTATGTGACAAAGCCTGTAACTGAGCTGTGGAATCTACAACTGTCCTCACATGAATAGAGAGGCCTCTGGGCCTCCTCCTGGTTCCACCAAGAGGCAAGGAGATAAAAAGTCATAGAATAATCTATTTCAGGACTATGGTGATATATAAATGTAACTCACCTACCAAAGGTCTAGGGATCAGAAAAGTGGATTCAGACAAAATTAACTGGTAAGTGAGTAACCTGGAGGTCTTTCACAATAATGGTGTTGTAAAGATTATTAGCATCAGCTAAATTCACTATTCAACTTCAGTGACAGATCAAGAGTGTGAGGGAGTTTTAATACATTTCTCTGAAGCTCAAAGCCAATGACTGACAGGATCCCAAAGAGGGTCACTATAACCAAGTCCTGTTACTTTACTTCAGTTCTGAGTTTGGGTATGATTCCAAGCTTGAAACTTTGGAAAAGTGCCTTATCTATTTATCTAACTCCTAGTGGTGTCTACAAATATTTGATCATGTTCTTTATTATATCTTTGGTTTGTATGACATCTAAGGTTCTACCTGCTCCTACTGGATTGAGTTGATCACACCCTCTTCAATGGCCTAATTACCACTAGAACATACTGGGGAAGCACCTTGCATGCTACAGTTATTTGCTACTGCATCTGTCTTTCCTAGTTTTCTAACTCATGGTTATATTTGTCACTTCAGTATCTAGTCTAGAATTAGGCACATATTAAAATTTGTGGAATGAATGAATGAATAGTGTTGGAATATAAGATTGACTGATTGATCAACTTAATAGCATTACTGGGTTTTGTCTTTGAACTTGTTCAGTTTAACATTTTTATCAGTAACATGGGACACAGGATTATCTAATTTGTTCATATAATGTGAGGCCGGAAAAGATCATTAACTTTAAAAGTGACAGAATCAAGCAAAGAAAGATCTCAAAGGATGTAATTGTAGTCTAGATGATGAAGTAAAATTTCATAAGAATGAATGCAATTCCAGCAGGTAAGTATAAAATATCCAGTTCTCGGATACAGTATAGGGAAGATCTGATTTGGTCATCATCCACAAGAAGACGGTCTGGTGGTTTTAGTTACTCATAAAACAAACATGAGCCAATATCCACCAATGAGAAGGTTGAATTACTGTGAGACCCCAAAACTAGCTGTGAAGAGCACTTGCTGCACTCACAGTATCAACCTTCTAATTGTGGGAGGCCATTGTCTCTGAGCACCAGAGCAATGGCCAGGCCACTGTGGGAGCAGGGTGTCTGATTTGGGATGCCATTATTTAAAAGAAAGACTAACATAATAAATGGTTCTTGTGAAAAGTCATGAGGATGGTGGACAGCTCCATATCGTCACTAAATAGGAGCTATTGAAGGAATAGGACACATTTTGTTTGGAGAAGAAGGACCTACAAATCAATGTGATAAATGATTAATGAGAAGGGAATGTTATTCCAAAAGCTAAAAGGAAGACTCATGAAGCAGTTAATTATTTGCTCGAGGAGGGCCAGAAATGTGTGTGTCTTGTTCACCATTAAAGCTTGAGCAGTTTACATAGTTACCAGTAGGAAGGGGAGCTCAGTAAACCATTTTTAAATGAATAGATGATAAAAATCTGAAAGAAAGTTTGACTCAGAGCTCTAAGTTCAAATCTAGCATCTTTACCTAGGAACTTCTCTGAGCAGTTTTACAAATGCTCAGTTGGGGATAATAATACCGTTCCAAATGATTCACATGATTGCATAACTGTCAAACCCAAACTGAGCTTATGATCTCTTTAAAGAAGTATAGCAAAGTACTATAATGAGATACACTATGATCACGAGAAGGGACTGACTTTCCAGCTATTAAATCTCTTCAACAGAGCCATGGATGGCCTCGTGAATTCAACAGTTAAAAGCCACTGGGAATGTTCAAGCAAGGTTGGATGACATCTCTTAAAAATGTGGCAGAGGTCAAGTTTTTCCCTGGACAGGGTATCTGACCAGAGGGCTGTAAATGTGCCTTCTGAAGCTAAGATGGTGATATCACCATCAGTGCCACCTGTCTAGCCCAGCATTACCAGTCCCCTCATGGCTCACATCAAAACAGTAAGCATCTTTTTGGTGAGGCTTCAGTTGGAACCCGAGATGCTTCTTTCCACCTGCTTAATAACTACCGGATTCATAGCACCCCCAGCTGTTTCAGGGCTTCAATTTATTGTGGGCCTGGAGACTTTGTTCTTGAGTGGCCTAGCACGTTTGAGAAAAGCAGCACTTCCAACAACAACTGTGGCTCATTATCACAGCAGTTCTCACCCAGGTGAGAGGAGAAGTGATTCTTTTTTTTTTTTTTTTTCAGGGCATATTGAATGTGATACGGAGAGTGAAAAAGCATTTTGATTGGACAATATCGAATCTTCCTCATTTGAGAATAAATGCTCTAGATAGATCCAATGATCTACATCTGTGACTCTGTATACCTCTATGTAACAGAAATCTCACCGTGGCCTTATTAAACAGAGTCCTCAGAGTCTTCAGTTAGAGGCAATTGTTTGAAGGAAAAGTTGGGTTCAATTATTTGAAAGAAAACAGGGAGGGCCCAGACTGACTCTGGTTCTGATTCTGCCCTCTTCATCCTATGACTAACCCTCCCGATCGTATCATGGCTGCTCCCTTGTCAAACATCCTCTGCACTTCAGGCAGGAAACAGAGGGGAAAGTGAAGAGCAAGGAAAGTCAAAGCCAATGGAATTGTCCCTTCTTAAGGAGTTTCCCAAGAAATCCCACACGGTGACTTCCTTTAATACCTCATTGAAAAGAAAGGAGATTGACTATTTTAATGGAATACATTGTTACCCCCCAATAAATCAGGATCCTCTTCATAAGGAAAAAAGGTGTAGGCAGGCAATGAGCAGTGTCTCCCACAATTTCACAATTCAGTTCAATTCACAGAATGATTGTGAGAAACTACCAGACAGACACTGGGCCAGCACTGGGAGCATGAAGACTTAGACACAGTTCCTGTACCACAATGAAGAAGACCTGTGCAAGATCAGTGAAGAACTTTAGCATACTTCAACTTGTGACTCAGAGGACAGACTGCTTATTTATCTTTTATCAGGAAATGAAATGTATTTTAGCAAGCTGATATAAGTTTGAGATTTTTCTGAAAGACCAACTACAGGAAGGACCTTTGTGTGGTAAATAGCCTATTGTGAACTAAATTTATTGTGACTTCCTGGAATTTTGAGATATGTTAGTTATCATTGAGAGTAAAGTGATACTTAATAGAGACTATCATGCAAAGTGAAATAAGCCAAACCCAGAAAATCAAAGGTTGAATTTTTTTTTCATGTGTGAAAGCTAGACCAACATAAGGAAAAAAGGTACCGTGTTGGGAGGAGCAGAATCAGATATCGTAGAGACATAGGGAAGATTAGTGAAGTATAAGAAGGAGATTGGGAGGGAGAGAGAAGGGTCAGGAAAATGGAGGGAAAGTCAAATGAATTTAACAAAATCATATTATGCACATATATAAATATACCACACAGAAGTCCATATTTATGTGTCTGTAGAAAGCACCAATCAAAAGTAAATATCGAGGCACAGTGACTAATGTCTGTGATCCCAGCAGCTCGGGAGACTGAAGCAGGAGGATCTCAAGTTCAAAGCCAACCTCATCTGGTTCTCAAGGCCCTAGGCAACATGGCAAGACCCTGGCTCAAAATTAAAGGGGGGGGAGTTGAGGTGTGGCTCATTGGTAAGCACCCCTGTGTTTAATCCCTACTACCGATAGATAGTAAATCAAC